GTTGCAGTCATTCACAGATACTCGGGATCATTCGCGGTGTAGGTTTTTTTGGTTTCATTCATTGGTTTAGGCTCTATCCTCTTTAAGAGCTGTCATGCTGAATTGATCGTGACGAAAGTTTTTCCGTAATTCCGTAGTGAACACCGGGTAAAGACCATTTCCCATAAACCTCCCACCACACACATTACACGAGAAACCCCCAATTTATGCGAATGTGGACGGGCGAGTGGCGCTGAAGACCTTCTTGTTGTTGAGACGGGGAACACGGTGGGGCAGAGGGAAGGATAGATTCTTGCTGACGAGCTGCTTGATGTAAGGGCGCTTGATATCTTCCGTCTTCTCGATCTCGACGACACGGAGAATCTAGGAAGCATGTTAGCTGGAGTTGCTTTCCTTTAATTTCAACTACCGGGTTTGGAGTTCGTACGTGGATCGACCTGAAACGGGCACGGTGGCGGGCAGCCATGTCCGAGTAGAGGGCCTCGACGGCATCTGTTCTGGAGAGCTCACGGTACTCCTTGTACATGTTGTGGGTGCCGGAGCGGGAGTCGTATCGGATCCAGATACCGAAGTTCTTGACGCGTAGAGGGTTCTTCTCGTTGATCTGCCACCGACATATCAGCCACCTAAACCACGGCTTCCTACACAACCAAATCCAATGGTAGATTTGAACATACCTTGTTTAGGCTGACAATCTCACCGTTGGCCTTCTTGACCTTCTTCAGCTTCATCAAGAAGTACCAGAAGCGAGACTTGGCAACGACATCATTGGGGGCGAAGATGCGCATGCGGTACAGCTTCGGGGTAGGGTTGGCCTCGGTGGGCAGGTGGCGCCCGATGACCTGGTATTCATGAAGGCGACCTGGTAGCATCAAATCAGTAATTGAATTCATCGTGTGGTTCCAAATGTAGCAAGCAGTGCCGAACGGCAGAGATGGTCGACAAGATCCGGCTCGAGAGGCGAGATATTCCTGGAAATAAGAGATGTCGCGGCGGATAAGTAACAGAATTGCAGTCAAGCTGCTGGAAGAACGCCCCGAAGTTCCTTGCATGGCCGGCGCTTCAACTGCAACGTGCCCATACTCCAATCCCCCTAAACTCTGGTCGAATATTCATCCAATAGTGTAAGAACCGACAACTCGCTTGTTTACGCTCAGATCGCTGTATCGTGGTACTTCGCTCGCTCCCTCGTTCGCGGGTTTTTTGTGGCGAGTTACCGTCGGGGCCATAGTCGATGTTGAATTCCCAAGGGGTTGTAATTGCATGATCGAATGAAAAGAAAATCGCTTACCCATCTAGAATTGACAACTATTAGTAACTGAGCAGATACACACGGCAAAGACGAAAGGCTGCAACCTACTGTGACTTGAATCCGGTCCTGTTGTCGTGGAGGTTAGTATGAAGGGCAGAGGTGGTGTAGTGGAGGCTACTTCGGGGCACGTCTTCGGCTACGAGAACTTTTTGCGAAATTCTGTGCTAAGGGTTTCCCGCCCTAGCAAGATTGTGTGGCCGTGCTGGACAGACCACCCAAGGCATTGTGATTTTTGCGGTGGCTCGTGTGGCTGAACATCCAATACTGAATGGTGGGGTAGGTACTTACATAGGTAGGTCACTGCAACCCTGCACAGTGCCCCACTCAGAGGTACATTGGTACGGAGTACCTATGGCAGAAAGGTACCTACCAACAATGGCTCGTCCCTTCACGGGCATGCTTTATAGAGGTTATTGTTTGTTTTATAGAACTTCGGAAACCTCGATCAAAACGACAACAGCGACGACATCCTAAAGAATCCACATGATCACACATCCTATACACGTTGATAAGCACAAGCTAAAGCAAAACTAACGAGGCTATTTCTCTACTCCTGTGCCCAGTCTGGCCATGGATGTCCTCATCCGCCAGTTTCGGGTGGCATATGCCGCCACGAACGGTGAGCAACTAGCCGAGACCCTGAGCCCCGACATCCTGGCACATTCAGCCAAGCTCCGAGCTATCTGGGGTCGGGGTGATGTCCGGTCCATGACCGCCGATCTCAACTTCCTTTTTCACCAAGACCAGGCCCGTCTCAGCATCAGGTTGTCAAAGGAGGAAACAAGCGGGTGGCATGCCATCTACACTGCCTACTGGAAAGCCATCGGGGAACTATTAGCCGTCGAAGGCCTGCGACATGATGTCCAGGTAAGCCCGTCTCGCAAGTAATGGCAGTTTATTGTTTTATTGCCCTCATTTTATCTCAAACGCCGGGACCTCCCGCTGACTGAGCCAAGTCTTCGTGGGCTAAGGTGTACGAAGCATGGAAGGAGCTCACACTACTCACTGTCCGAGGCTATACAAACCATGACTTTGAAAACTGGACCATACCTTGTCTTTATGTCACTGGAAGATATCTGAGGCTCTTTGCCATCCGAGCTGATGCTGATAGGGGTCTCACTAATGACGAGCCGGCCGTTGACGACTTGAAAGACGATTTTGATCCAGAAGCAGAACAACACAAGAATCTCGAAGACTGCGCAAGGCATCTGAACAGAATCTTCCAAATCTGCGCCTCGGACAGGTGATTCCTCCTCGTCCGATACCCGTCCCGGGGCTCCTGCTGATACAGACTAGAGCTCCATTAGAAGAATCTCGCAAATGGGGGGTTTACTACGCTGTCAATCTACTGTTCAAGACTTACTTCAGGCTAAATTCGGAACCGCTCTCGAAGAATATTTTGAGGGCAATATCGGCCGGTCGAACTGATATTCCTCCAATTGATAAGTTCCCTAAATCACAACAGGTTACCTTCAAGTACTATGAAGGCGTCTTAGCCTTTTTAGAGGAGAACTATGTCGATGCAAGTAGCCTGGAAGACCCTCAATTCATTTTTTACGGTGACTAACTAAATCTTAGGCCGAGAAACATCTTGAGATGGCATGGCTGATGTGTCACAAGGATGCGCAACGAAATCTCGAGTGTGTATTTTCCATTCTCGAGTCTGGTGACCCGTATCCTAATTTTCTCCAGACTTATCCTCACTTACCTTATCCCATGCCGTCTTTTAACAACCCATACACTTCCTAGCGCACACCTGCTCGAGCCATTCCCCCGCCTACAGAAGCTCTTCATACCGCTAGCTCGTGCTATTAGAAAATCTGATCTACGAGCATTTGACATTGCTCTGCGTGACGGCGAAGACGAGTTCATAAACCGACGGGTCTATTTAACACTAGAGCGTGGGCGTGACATTGTATTGCGTAACTTATTACGCAAGGTATTTATAGCAGGGGGGTTCGAGGAAGCCAAGGACAGCGCAGCACCCGTGCGGAGGACGAGGATTCCTATCACTGAGTTCACAGCAGCCGTGCAGATAAGTAGTGGAGAGGCCATTGACTCTGATGAAGTGGAATGTCTCATGGCCAACATGATATACAAGGTACGTCATAACTACTGATGATGCACGGATCATTTTAGCATTTCCTACTTTTCGACAGAGACCTTTTAGAGCGCATCCTTGTTTTCTAGTTTCAAGATATTGTCTTGACTTAGGAGAGAAACAAGTTGATTTAAACTCACTATGCCACCAAGACTCCCCTTCTAATATGAGTTTCCCCCACGCGCTGCTAACACTCAGCCTAGAATCTCATGAAAGGATACATCGCCCACGAACGCGGGACAGTGGTATTGAGCAAGTCTGGTGCCTTTCCCGGAACAAAGGTATGAGTCGGGGGTTACGAGAGCAGTAAGCAAAGGGATACACATATGCACACTGGGCTCTTAATATGCATGGTGCCGACGAGATAGGAGACATCACACGTTTACCATCGTGATTGGTGGCGGTTTCGAGATTACATTCATCTCTATTGGACAGCCTTGCAGTAGGCTTGAGTCAGCATCATAACAATATATATGACAGGAGGTGAGGGACGCAGGCTCAACGTGTCGCTATCTTGCCACTAGACCAGGAACACTTAAAAACAATACAGCAGGATTGTCCTCGCAACGCAAGGCTATGCTACAACCCATACATCAAATGAGATCTGCGAGCGATGCACAATTTAAGTGCCTTCCTTGTCACAGAAGCAAAAATTGTTAACGTTGGTCAATGGACGGGTTTAGCTGCAACCGTTCAGAAGATCAATGGCGATGTATTTTATCCTCACGTTACCTAAGCTAAAGAGCCACGGGACGTGTCAAGGCTACCCAATAATCTAAAAATACAAGAAAAGAAAACCCATAATGCCAGTCTGAACGAAGTCCATTGGGTATTGTTACCTTCACTAGCTAGTAGAACAGAACCATAGCATAGCGCGGCGTGGGTAAATAAGTAAGTAGGTGGGTGTAGTACTCAAAGCGATGACTCACTCATCCGGAGTCATCCCTCAGCCACGAGTACCGAATACTACCCTTGGCCGATGGCGCATTTACCTCCTGCACACACCATCAGCGGGGAACCGCCTATTCACATCCCGGAGGCCTAATGAATGAAAATGTGACTGGACCAGGATTAGGACCTTTTTCTACAGCGTATATGTAGTCAGACTCCTACCCCAGACCCACGATTTGAATTGGCGAATCAAGACGACATTGAAAAGGGGAGATGAGGCCATGACGCTCGACAGGAATGTGTGCCTGGGTCGCAAGCCTGGACTAGATAGATAGGACTTGGTCTGCGGTGCTTGGAATGAGGGGGTTAGCGGAGTGTGGAGTTGATAAGTCGAGAGCTTGAGGGTTTTCTTCTTGTCATGCCACTAAGCAATAACAAAAGCGACCTAACAGATAAGAAATAGCTATTATCTCTGCTATGTTGCTATTGAAGTTGTCACTAAGAAGCATTAAAAAAAAAGGGTAAGTGGGCAGCGCCTCAATAAGAGACCAATAATGTCACCCACCCATTTTCTACCCTTTTAGTTCTTTAACAGATTCCTATTAAAAATAGAATATTACCACTCATTTTTACGTTTTAAATCAATTGTCATGCAATCAAGGTGAAGGAAACAGCAAAACAAATAAGCAAAACTTGGGGCTCAACCGGGATTCGAACCCGGGGCCTCTCGCAGATTCGAGGTAGACCCAAAGCGAGAATCATACCACTAGACCATTGAGCCGACACGATCAACTCGTCCGTATTACACATCTGAGAACCTGATTCAGACTTCAAAATACCTTCAGGTAGACTAGAAATTAAACCATAAAGAGAATCAACTGTTTTATACAACGAGCAGCCTTTATCATTCTTGTCTGTTGAATATGACAGCATAGTCTAGGCATCCGTGCAGCAGAAGCAATGCGCATCTCTTACGAGGAGTGTTCTCAGCTATATTTTATACACAAACACCTATAAAGACATCAAAGAGTTATTTGAATAGTATATACAAGAACGGTAGTCTATAATCATTATCATCAGCATTTTCGTTCTCCTCCAGCCTATTGTCTCTTCTTCTCATAGTTAGTCCTTCCAAAGCCAAAGACCTATCTTGGTCTCCTATTTACCTGCCTGCCTCCCTTCTGTTGGGGAGGAAGGATGTGAACCCTTATGTGAACGATAGTCTAGAAGTGTAATGGTACATGTGTTATCATCTCGTGAGAAAAGCGAGCTGGTAGGAAATACCAACAAAGTGAAAAGGTAAAGAGATCCTCCAGTTTCGCAGTCTGGGCAGCCCTATATCTCCTCAAACTCCGTTCCCAAGCATGTTATTATATTTGTTTTGGTTTCGTCCACAGTCTCCCCTAGGCAAATACGCCCGTGCGAGAAATACAGCCGCTTGGAAAGAAAAGAAAAGGTCATAGGGACTAGCGGCGGTGAGATATCATTGTCCGTTTCTGTCTGGTCGAAACGGGATCAAAGGAACAATAGTGGTACAGGGTGTTATAAACGAAGAGCAACAGAATCGAAGAAAAAATCCAACTTGCAACGAGATGAACACCAAAATGCTTGAATGTGATATTTGCGCTAGTGGTGTGCGCAAATGAAAAACACAGGCAAGTCCATCGAGCTATTCTTGAGAAGCGAGGAGATAGTGAAGAAGGACGAAGGGAATGGGGCAACGTTGATGATTAGATATACCGCCCAAAGCATAGATGGCGGTTATGATAAGGTCCGGATATGATGAGATGGGAATCGAAGGTCGAAAATGAAGAGATATCATAACAACAAAACAAAAGAACTAATCTGGGTGCCTAGAAATGACGATTACTCCGCGGTGTGTTTCTATAAGACCGATGTTAGTGAGCTCTACGATCAAACGACCCAAATTCAACAAAGAGACACTTACGAAGCACTAGTGACATCGTCAACATGATTACATAAAGCGACAAAGAGATCAAAGAACAGCTGTGTCCCGCCGTTATACATCTCCAGTTGCATAGTGCCGCTGCGTTTGAAGGTGCTGCGGCTGCGGATGATGAGGGCAAGATAATGCGCCCGTAGCTTCGAGTCGGTGTCCGGCGTATTGGTATATGCGTAGCGAGCGGACGCTAGTATGGTGCTGCACTGAATGCCAGACTCTATAGTTGCCAACGTCAGCACACTTATAGCAAGCAATAATAATGAACGGTGTAGACTTACGAAGACCCTGCTTCCGCAGCGCAACACGCTTGAGCTCCTCCAGCCCGTATCTATCAGCCGTACAATAGATGACGGTGTCCTTCAAGATATCGCCATCGATGGCGTGATGGTAGACTGTAGACTCGCTAGATCCCCGCTCTTCGTCGGGTTGTTCGATCTCCCACGAATTGCGACGCTTGTTGTGGATTAATCGTGGGTAATAGTCTCCCTTGTAAAGGTACTCGAGGACGGACGAGAAAATCTCTGGTTCGTCATCTGGCAGATGGACCCGTTTTCCACGTTGTGGATCCGTGTACTGATTCAACAGAGCCTGTTGGAACCATGGTGATGCACAGAGAACATCCTCATGGGCAGCGAAGATTCGCTGGTCGCGACCGATGACAAGGGTCACGATGGATGGCGTGAGATTACTGCATGGAAGCGACATGTCAGAGGAGAAATGATGAAGTTATAAAGTGATGAGGTGATGAAGTGATGAAATGAAAACATAAGTTGTTCGTACCTGTCAGGGGACATGGCCTCGTCTATCTGTTGAGACATGGACGTCGTCAAGCGGCGGCGGGACTCATGTCGAGGCTTGGTGATGCCATAGCTCTTGCTGAAAGAAGCACTCGATTTACTTACTCTATGGCCCTTGGAGAAGCTCCTGTTTGGAGGCGGGTCCATGTGTTTGCTTTGCATGTTGTTGAAATGAGTATGCGTGGGGAGTGTATAGGTGTATGTGATCCCTAGTCTCCGACCGAGATGCAGTCAGAGTTCGAAATGATTAAGAAATGCCTCGGTCGCAGACGGTAAAGAGTTCTGTCTTTCGAAGAACCAAGTTCAAACCTGGTATTCTATCGGTGTGATAGATTGTCATGCGGTCGAAGGTGATGAATACGATGAATGTGACGATGGAGATGAAATGACGAAATGACAGCGACGATGAAACGAGATGATTTGCCTACCTGTTGAAGCCCCCTTCTGTTTGAGTGAATAGAAGGGAGGAATTTTCGGGGGCGTCCCTCATTATATAGTGGGCGACCCATGTCGGGGAGGCGACGCTGCTGCGTGAATGCCTGTGGCAGTAATAAAAAGCAGCCGGTATCTTCAGGCAAACACGCTTAGTTGACGATGGACGTTGGCCCACGCGTCTGGTATAACCCGATAGTGACACGAAATCACCTGACTCATTAAATCCTGGGCCGGCCCGGAATGGGATTAGCGTGCATCACAGCCTGTCTGGCCTCTCCCAAGAGGGCTGCGATAGGCGGGTGTTAGGCCTCCCTAGCGGCGCCATAGCGGAGCTTAAAGGAATCACCCAGTGGGACGACTAGCGGGGGTTTAATGGATGTTACTGCGTAGGGCGAACTAACCAGGGGTGTTCCAGGGCCAAGCCAGCCTTCCGTCAGGGATTAATATAAGCTGTTCCAGAAGCTCCATGCAGTACAATACTGGGCTTACCACCTATATTTTTTTTATTTCAAGAACCGTCATGAGAGGCGGTGTTTCTTTCATTGCCGAAGGTTCGCTGCTGGCGTTCTTCTCCTCTATCCCAATTCCAGGTTCAAGTTGCTTCTACAGTCAATTGATGAGGTAGGCAGACGTCAATTAACTCGGCAAACTATATTGCGACGTCGGCCATACTCGCAGACTGCCATTCACGGGCGCACGGTTGAGGGAAGAATAGCTCCGAGTAGTGCCATCTACTGTCTCACTGGAGTCATGGACCCATGAATTTTAGTCTCAGGGGGGATGTACATTATATATACAACATTAGATACCTTGTACATGAAATTCAAATTGGCGACTGGGTATTGGAGTTCATCTAGTGGAGTGTACTATGTACGTACCCATCTTGTGCTGTAACTGACCGGTTTTCCCCCATGCCGCATACGGTATATAGTAGATAGGCACCTAGCGTAAATAATGCGGGTGTTGTTGCCATAAATTCTAAAAGCAGACAGAGAGAAGGAAGGCGGAAAACACTATGAACATGATGCATCAATTGGTCGCTTTCTATGCTGTAACAAGATATTCGGAAGTGCTTGCATGATCTAGCTCCTGATCTAGCCTAGGTGCAGAAACCTCGACATGCATATGCAGCTCTCCCATCTGCTGCAGCTGATTCAATGTTCTACTGCATAAAGTATATGTACGAAGTAGTGCATACCTAAAGTGGAACAGGCGGGAACAACTCGGACTTCCTGCTGCAGCTGCACATACCGGTACTCAGTAGGTACAGTTACTTAGGTGGATAACCTACATAGGTAGGTCCCTGCTATGAGGTAGTATAGGAGTGTCTTACTACAGTAGTCTAGGTGCACTATACTTGCGGACAAGACAGGAGGGGGGATCCTAATGTCCCTGCACAGCAAGCTCAGCTTCCTGTTAAGATAACAAGCAGCTTAGCTGCTGTCAACGCCTAATGTCAATGCTACAGTATCAGCAAGCCGAGTCAAATGTGAACAGTATCCAGACACTACAGAAAGACAAGCGAAGGATCAACATTAAGCCCAGACAGGTGTTTTCAATTTAGAACCCTGCCGAGCGGGGTGCACCTAAGGATTAGGTACCCATTCCCTGCTTACACTCCTACTAAAGGTATTACCCAAGGTTAGGTACCTACCTACTTAAGTGCTGTTAGATGCAACAATTGTAGCCGCCTCACTTCTGGTGCCCTGTGTTATCCAAATTGTACTGCACAGATCGCGGCAGACTGATGCAACTATTTATCCTCACTATTCCCCTATACAGCTAAGGAAATAACCGATTTAATTGCCATTCATAGGTATGTTGAAACTCAGTTGTTGGCGTTTGTTCTAGGTACCTCTTCCACGCATTTATATAGCCCATAACTGGTCTTCAATGTTCCTCTCTAGATAGTACGTATTCCAGTTCTTCCCACTGTTTTTCTCTATAACCTTGGAAGCCATGATAAGTAGCTGGGATCTAAGGTACCGTTTACCCGATTTGTCCAATTTTGCATTCCTTTTTATTTTATCCCATTTGTGTTGAAGCCCTTGTTCCTTCCTTTCCTTTTTCCTTTTTTTTCTTTTTAATAAGTATACCAATCCCTAATAATACCACCCCGCCGATGGAAGCAAAGGACGACTGTTGAGATTCCGACGCCACCGCCAACTAGGCGACATTCGCAACCAGTGGTAACAATGGAAAAGAACAAGGCGGTGATGTTACATGTTGATGTGCGTGTTGGTCCATGCCGCAGCGAGGACCACGGCAGCTCGACTGAGTCTAGTCCAAGAACGCAGTCGTCTTCGGGCCATTCCCACCGAATATCTCAAAGTCCGCCGCACATCCCGTAGCGAGGGGCCGAGTCGGGGCTTTGTTATTTTTGCCCTTTCTCTTCACCGTATGTCTGTAGTCTTCAGGCCAGCATCCAGCACCGATGTGCTTGATGTTCGACTTGTCGGTTGTCTCGGTCGTGTTCAACTCATCGTCATACTTGTCTAAATCTACTGGATTCTCGTGGTACGGGGAGATGTAGCATGCTTGCCGCCGGTGCTGTGAGCGGCACAGCGCGGGTGGGTTCCGGGCGCCCCATTGCTCCTTGTTGTACGCCCTGTTTCGCATCGCGTTCCATTTCTGGTGCCAGTGACAGTAGTCTCTGCTGCTCTACATCAGAGACACCTTAACTTCACGGCACCGCGGGTCGGATTTTCCATAAACACACTCGTCTAGCCGGTACTGCAGCTGGCATGGACAGCTGTAAAATCGGAGGTAGATCTGCTGACACATCTTCTCTTTTGTGCGCTCCCGGTCGGTACGGCCGAGATATACCGATTGGTTGAGTAGCTATAGACGTGATGATGCTTGCGCCTTAGTGGGTCGGAACAGAGGAAAGGAAGTTTGCGTGAATACGTAGAAAGACCGCCTTATTTAATGTGACCGACGACGAGCTGCTCGTCGCATCGATTAGCATTTGTAGTTGACAGTATGCAATTATGGCCGAGGGGAGGGGAACTCAGGAAAGGGCCTATTTAAATGACCGTGTAATAGGTGTGTTTAATCCGAAAACACATTATCAATGCTCGGGTTTAAGGGATGATTACCTATGATATCAAAGGGAGGCCCCAAGGAGTGATATTTGCGATTCATATAACGTAGAGATTCTCTTGCAATCAGGTATAAGCGGTAGAGAATCCAGACTTCGTTTTGACATATAGATGGATCTGACAACGAGGTGTAGAAAGCATGGGAAGAGGCGCGATTTATACTAGGTCGGCGATAGGTTATAAATGTAGAGATAAGTCGATAATGGTTAGGCACCTAGTGCAAAGTAAATGTGTGCAGGAGCAAACAAGCATCAAGGGGTTCAATGGCAAACCGCTAGATGCTCACTCAATGGGAACAAGTCCGGAGTTTCACCCGAGATGGTCCAAGCGACTTTGTGCGATGTTGTTGTCTTGGACTTGAGACCAGAGACTGTACTAGTAATGACGGTTGGGCGGCCGGATGACGATATAGTTCCATGTATGAATAAGTAGGGTATGAATAAGGACAATAGAAATAGACGGCTCAAGGAAGCATCATTAAGAAACCTAACACTATTAAGTGCCATAAATTGCGACCGTACGGGAAAGGGTAAAATGATGAGCTCAGGGTTGTGTTTGCAAGCAGAGATTGTTTGTTTGTAGCCAACTAACTGAGGTGATAATATCCGCCCTAGTAAAGCGCCTTTCAAATCCTATTGATCAATCCTCCCAACTATATATTACCCACCCTTATAGTACATAACATCCACTTGCTGATAGATCATGATCCAGGTGCAATGAAAGCCTCGTGTTAGTCGTGTTAGGGGATGTGGTTATATCTACCCTATGTGGGCAGTTATAGTGGTCTCTATGTATATATACTTAAATACATTCCTACTATCTCACTGATGACGAGCCGACCTATTTACTCTGGGACAACGCCCCCTGACAACTGGCGATGACCCTCCCGGTTGGTCGGTCGGCATTTGCTGTGTAACTTGAAGCTACAATGCTTAGATTCGACCCACGAGTTAAAATCTTCATTCGGTAATGCGTCCTACCTGAGGAAACGTAATACGGCTTATGGTATTGCAGCATGAACTTTTAGGTTTTATATACACACACATATGTGTGTATTGATGCTCGCCCGTCATTTGCTCATATGACTGGAGAGAAATATGGACAATGATTAATGAAAAGATTCCCATTTTACTAGACGCTAACACTACGTTGCTAGAATGTCTTATCATTCCCAACGAATAGTTCCACAAGCCATGACATGACCTTGGATTTCGGGAATTACGACAAACAGTAAAATTTGTTTCTCTCAAGGTAGGTATTTTCTGCCGTCCGACTAAACTCCTCCAGAAAATGCCGAACTGCACGAACTCTCCTTGTATCAGCTCTAGTAGCCAGCAGAAAATTAGTCAACTGGGTCAAATATAAGACTTTATCGTTGCCTGGCTAACGTCGTGAGAAAATCCAAGATAGAAAGCGAGAGAAAACTGCTTCGTGTCCACGGTAGCTCTGCGATGTGACTGTCAACAATTTACCTGACTGTAGATAAATTCTCTATTTAATTGGGTATTCGATTCCATTCGGTCCAGACTTCGAGCGTATCTGCACTTCTTCAGTTAAGACTTCATTGAATTCCTCTTTCCTGGTTTCTCACTCTTCGCCTAGGTCGTTAGGGAGCCGATTAAATTCCCTTCGAGGACTGTTAAGTTTGTCATTAAGTTTAGTGTATAAAGAGCATCCCTAGTCTCGTGTTACCTAGCTACCACTCGGGAATGTATCGGGTCAAATACTTACATATCGGCGTGCAACGTTTTGCTCCATGTATTCGACCTCACGTACAATAGTTTCAATGGTAGTCGATGTTCGATTGATCTGAAGCTGCTTCTCTTTTCATACGTCTTTCACTAAGGATCATATCTCGAGAACGCATTCCATATTTCCCCTCTAAGTTCTTGTCAGGTGATATAGTCACATATAGACCCCTATGGTCTATATAGTGGGCCTGGTGTGTATATATGGGACATTCTCACCAACTGCTATTAGGAAGCCCTAGGGACCAGTTAACCAACCTACACATCCATATATGGCTACTGACTCCTTTCCTACCTACTATGTGACTGCTAGGGCTATCTATTCACTGCCGGATAACCCTCTCTGACAAATATATGAACATACCTTCATCCCCCCAGTGGAAGCCGTAAGACAAGAGGATAAACTCCGGCTTGTTAGGATGTCAGTATTAAAAAACTTAACTCTCAAAGGTCATGTGAAAAAAACGCTCTTCTAGACATGTACAGGCACATAGACTGAGGCAGCATTGCGACACGCCTTTAGTTCCAGTGGGATTCGATCTGGTCTTTGAGTTTACGACAATTGCGTCGCACCTCTGCTAGATCTTTCCGTTCTTCTCGTCATGGGTTGACTTGCAAGAAGTTGTCATGGGAATCTTCAAAACGAAGACTACGTGCGGCTTACGCGACATGCTTCGTGCATTCGGTTTTGCGCTGGGTGACCTGGCTATGTGTAGCAGGAAATCTACACACAACCCTACGGATGACACCGTCCGCCAATTAGTCGTTCTCATAAACCTACTGCGACTACGGAAAGGCACTGCGTTAATATAGATTGAAAGCATACGAAAGAAAGAACGAGATAGACTGCGAAGGGTCTGGCATGGCCGCGCTCCCAGCCCGAGAGAGTTATATCCTAGGATATACACACAAGGGAAACCTCTCAGTTCCATGCTTCCGCATTGGGAACGACTAGTCAATATTTTCTCTACGTATAACCCTGTAGGGGTAGCCACAGGTGGTAACTACGGCTGGGTATCCCTGCCAAGCTTAGAAGGCCCTAAAATATTTCATAGGGATGTCCATGGAAAAGAAATGTCAGAGGGTATTGTCCCGGAGTGAAGAGATAGCCCTACGCAGTCAAGTGGGTAGAAAGGGGTCAATAGCCATATATGGGTGTGTAGGTTGGTTAATTGGCCCCTAGGGCTTCCTTATAGCAGTTGGTGAGAATATCCCATATATATACACCAAGCCCATCATATACCTAGAATCTAGGGGGTTATACGTCACTATAAATATTATAATTGAGAGTCGAAGGTCCACAACGCCACCATGTTAAGTCCTCGGAGTTGATTTCTTTCTTTGGCCTGTCTTAGAAGCTTAAGGCCCTTCTAGTTAAAATGAAGAGTTAAGTACCTACTTTCTGAAACTTATGACTCGCTACTAGGATAAAGTAACTAACTATTAAATTAGCAGATGTCTCTTTTAACCGCTCCATAAAAACATTAACAGATGCAACGTTATAAAGGAGTAAAGTAGTTACCTGATGTACTAGGTAAGTAGAAGCACGAATTATAAGTTATCGTGAAATCTGGACTGTGCAGCAATCAGCTCCAGCTTGGTTAAGCGTTAATTGGCGTCTTGATCTCGATTGGTCTAGTGGTAAGGATACCTGCTTGTCATTGGACAGCTCGCAGGTGGCCGGGGTTCGATTCCCCGATCGAGAGTTGATGAATTTTTGTTCTATTTTCAACCCCCCTTAACGCACTATACGAATACGAAACCTTTTTTCCTTATTTTTTTTTAAGAAAGAGGAAAGGAAAACACTCGTGAAAGTGTGGTATTATGCGTTGTTATTAGCCGTATCAGACAATATTTAGTTAATTATAGGTCTGGGTGATTATAATATCTAAAACAATCTATCTCTACAAAGCCCTAGTCACAAGTGAATATGGAATCCTCTTTCCCACATACGATGTGCAAGAATGGAGCCCTGACCGGTTGAAAAAAGAGTAAAAACAGTTGTCAGCGGTTCAGTGCTCAAAAAACATTACCTACCTCAGCAGATTATTCAATTCTCTTCTTTCCCTCCTCCGCATTGAGATATCTTGCCGTGCTCAGTCCACGCTCATGTCTTGCCACGAAAGGGCCTATCACCTTGCCTTTCCTGATTTTTCCGATCGTCTCCTGATAACCCTCTATAGCCCATGGCCGAGGATTGAGCTTCGGCCAATTTACCTGAGACCAGTATTAGTGTATGTGCTTTTGCTATGTAAAAGCTACTGTCCATCAAGGGATGATCAATCTTCAGTACTTACAAATAGCATGCCGTTTTGAATGATAAAGTTCAGACACCAGCTACCCACCACTAGCCAGAAAAATATGAACAAACGCATGGGTAGGACAGCGGTATCCGGCAAGCGTTTGCTGAACAATCCCAGAAATACGAAGAATATGCTGAAAGCAAGGACGTAGGGAATACTCTGGATTAGGATAGGCCTGCGGTCGGCAAATACAAGCGACGAACCGATATTAGCTGTGCTGGGCTCATATGCGCCTAAAAACAGGTCGTAGGCATCTTGCCGCGGTCCGTCTCGGAAGTTATTTAGATAGTATCGAGTCACGGCGATATTTCCGTCTTGCAAAGTACCCTGTTTGGTACGCTTGCCCAAGCGCGTAAGGTCTGTTTTCATAGCGCCCGTGCCGGCATATGCCTTGGATACTGTGTCGGCGTTGTCCGCCCATAGATTCCGAAATAGGAGTTCGAAGGCTGGGTCCGCCGTGGCAAAAGTCTCGCCTCGTTGAAGTAGGCCCACATCCACGAAGATGCGATCCAAAGTCCACCTGGCAAGCATGCTCTGAACTACATTGGTCCGATCCAGTGAATCCATGCAGTTTGTTCGTACAACACTGGTTTGGAAGTTTCTCGTCTCCAACCCGCCGTTAGCTGGCATATCGACGCCTCGGAAATACTGCTGGGTTATCAATGCATCATGTAACCTATCAACGAGCATCATGGCGCGGTGCATCTGGAGTCCCTTGGTCTCGTGGTGGAAGTCGAAGTAGACATAGTGCAAGCGGTCAAATCCTTGCTTGTGAGTGTCGGGTTCGACGACACGGAATTTCTCGTCGGTGATGAGGTCTTTATCGACTGTTTCTTTCTTGGAGCTTAGAAGCATTTCAACCATTTGTTCATAAGCCTCCTTCACGCGCTTTTCACGGCCCTTTTGATTGACTAGATTGACGAGGTAATTGTCACCATATATGCGGATTTGCTCGTCAAAATGTTTCTTGGCGGCAGAGAAGGCGGTTTCAATGCCGCGAACCTGCAGTTTTGGAGTATACTTGAGAACATTGATCTCGGACCAGTAGACGGGCACACTTCCTCGGGTTTGGGTGTAGGACATGACCTGCATTTCTCGGCCATCAGAAGCCCCGAACTTGCCACTTTGCATATCGGTGCTCCCTGCGTAGCCCCCCAGGCCACCACCTGTGTCGTTCAACACGACAACTTGCTCTGTCTCATTGTAATTGGCGGCGTGCCCTTCTTCGTCCAGACCTCGGGTGAAGTATCTGGTTCCAGCACGGTACCTCGACTTTCTAGTGATAAGAACAATGGTCAGGGGGGTGCCCTTGAACTTGGTCGGCCGTATTTCTAAGGTGCCCCATATCAATGGTAGGATGAACGGGTCGGCGGCTGGCTGCGGGCCTTGCTGGGACCGACTTCCACTCCTTCGGAAGTCAATTAGATCGCTCTGGACGAACCTGTTCCAAAAGAAGCGATCGTCGGCCCGCATCCAGAGAGGAGCAGAACTGTCGCTAGATGCCTGCCTTTGGAAGTTGTTGGTAAGATCAATCGAATAGGAGAAGTACATAGGGCCGGTCATGATGAAGGATTTCAGGAGAAATAGGAACTGGTCTTCATCAGGGTCGCGAATCTGACGTTCTCGCATTGGTAGGAAGTCGGTTGAGACAACCTTGTACACCATGTGTCCCTTGAGACGGCCCACGGGTTGGGCTTTCGTGATTACGATGACATACTTGTCTGTCGCGAACCGGTCAGCCCTAACCGTCATGCCGTATTGTGGGAATGCTTACCTAGCCTCAGTCGAATGATGCCGAGGATGCCGGCTACGCTCGAGACACGAGCGACACGTTTAACGGTCGCAGAGGCAGTCTCGCTCAGACGGACATCGCCCGTGGGCCGATCGATGACCAGAGCTGGAGCATTGGGCGACGAGGGCGAGGTGAAGGTGTAGGACTCGGCGGCAACGCGGACATTGATGTCCCGGTAGGGAAGCGTCATGATGGGCCAGGAGAGGCCGCGGCAGAGCGCACTTTCGTTACTAGACGGCGAGCGAGGCCGGCTCTTGGTCAGTTCAGCTGGTCGGCTGTTAGTTGTCGACACAATTCAGGCGCGTGCTGGCCGGGAAGCCTTGGGAGATGATATCGGTCGCGAGCTGTCTTGATGACTTGGGCCGGGTGATTGTGGATTATGGGTGATCTGGTGTTTGAGGCACAGCATTTGTGTTCAGCTGATAGAAACGAATAGGTTGGAAGTCCTGTCGTATATATTCCTATAGGCAATATACAAGGGGCAGTGACACATGTGTAAGCATGCATATGTGTCTACATGGTAGCTACCTTGGGTAGGTATGTAGGGAGTAATTGATACGTACCAACTTACTACAGAGAAGTAGGTATTTCAGGTATTCACATGCCAGGTGGTTGGTCCCTTTCTAAACCCCACTTGCGGATGCGATCACACCTAATCTGCAATCTGTAATCTGTATCTGTGCGTAGGCAGGCAGATGTCCTATGTACAGTGCGCATACAGTACTTATGATTCTTATCTACGGTGTACAGCGGACTCTGCCCCAGCCAGGCTTAGGACAGCGCCCTGGAGACAATTGACAGCCAGCTATAGCAGCCTAATGGCCCCGGTTTCCCAGCGCCAATTCTAGAGGCTCAGCCACTCACCACCCACTGCCATGTACTACTTACTCAGCTCACACTGGGACCATCAAGCTTCCACCTGACTTCATCCATCGAACGTCTGTCTAGGCAGTGGCCGTCTCCCTCATCACCACCAAGTGTTCGCTTCCACTACAACGACACCCTGTCACCACCCGCGTACCTCATCTTGTCGCCTCGCCCTCTGCAGCTCCCACGCTCTTCACCCTACGGTACTCCAGCGAAGTCTGCATACACCGAGCTCCGTTCCGATAAGATACGCCGTGCGCCCCCCAATCGGCCTCCTTTGTCTCTCGATCCGCAACACCCGCGCAGCGATCATCTGCGCCCTCCTTGGCTACCCGCATCACAGATCCTCTTGCAATGGCTTCTCGGGCAGGGCCTGCCGTAGGCCGCGGCTTGAACACTCGCTTTGCACAATTCAAGTTGGTCTTGCTAGGTAAGCTTAATTCCCGCCGGCTGTGTAATTCTGGCCAACACTGACGCACGCATAGGAGAATCTGCCGTAGGAAAGGTAACGGACCGATATCGTCATTGATGTTCATTGAGAATACCGATGAAGCTGACTTGCTTGGATTAGAGCTCGATAGTGCTAAGATTCGTTAAGGTACTTCGCAGACCCCCTCTACATTTCCCTCGACGAAGTCTTGTTGCTTATACTCGGCCAGGATCAATTTGACTCGTACAGAGAATCAACCATCGGCGCCGCCTTTCTCACACAGACCATATCCCTCGACGAAAACACCACTGTCAAGTTTGAGATCTGGGATACTGCCGGCCAGGAGAGATATAAGTCGTTGGCGCCCATGTACTACCGAAATGCGAACTGTGCCGTAGTTGTTTACGATATCACCCAATCCGTACGTAGTTTACCACGCTGCCGCATGGATGCTATGACTTGACTGACCGCGGCCGATCACAGACATCTCTAGACAAGGCAAAGGCGTGGGTGAAGGAGCTGCAACGACAAGCAAATGAGAACATCATCATTGCTCTCGCTGGTAACAAGTTGGATTTGGTAAACGAGCAACCCGACAAGCGCGCAGTGCCGACGGCGGAAGCGGAAGCATATGCCAACGAAGCCGGCCTATTGTTTTTCGAAACCTCGGCCAAGACGGCGGAAAACGTGCAAGAACTGTTCACTGCTATCGCGAAGAAGCTTCCTCTCGACCAGGTTGGTCCCCGTCACACCCGACCTGGCCAACGACCAGGCGGCGTTAGCCTAGGACCAGTTGAAGGCAGGGACACACAGGCAGGAGGACCTTGCAGCTGCTAGAAGCGTTTCCTCTCAAGCATTGCAGCATTTTGGGCTACGATGGTGAAGGGACGAGGGTCTCGATACCGTAGGATCTATGCTACTTATACAGCGCACACTTCATATATCGCTTGCCGAACTGCTAGCTCTGCCATCCTGGAACAGAGAGATGTCGACAGCAACTTCCAAGACTATGCACGCGATGAACCACTGAGACGTGAGGTTGGTGCGTGGGCTGTGCATGAGTGGAGATTGGTATTTCAACGGTGAAGAGTATGAGAGAGTAATTGCAAATATGATGTATATTCATTCCATTGGGGGTCTCTCGGCAGGACGGCATCACGGGGTTATCGTTTTAGTTTTGTTCTGTCTTCCTAATTTTTTGTCTTGCTTTTATTTTAAATACTTGAGATTCTTGATGGGATCGTGAGGTAGGCCATTGGTCGCATATGGTCGTTAGTTAGACTAGGCGACGCGATCAGATATCAGACGGGGAGC